CCCCAACCCCGAGCGAGTCAGCCGGACCGGCAGGCCGGGCGTTTTAATAAAGCAGCACCGGAAAATCTTGTTTTGCTCCTGATTGTAGCTGCTCCGAGCCAAACTGTCTGCAGTCGCTCTCCACCGCGCTGAGACAAGGAAACAGCCGCACGGAGAGAGGACTCTGCCTTGCAGCAGAGTGAAAAACACACCTTGCAGCCCCACCGTTTGGAGGAATACCTTGGGTGGGGAGAAACCAGCTTTGGCACCGGCTGCTGCAAACTCGCAGAGCTGAAACGATGCTCCTGGAGCCCGGCCAGGCTCCAGGCCTGGGACTGCCCCGTGCCACTGGTGTTTCGAGGACAGTGCCTGCCCCAGGCAACGCGCACCTCCCCTCCTGCCAGGACAAGTCCCTGGGACCATCCCAGGGCGCTGGGGCCCAGCACTCAGCACCAGCTGAGGGCAAGCAGGAGAAACTGAGAGGTGACCCTGTGGGTCCCCTCGGCCTCATGGCACAAAAAGGCACCCCCAAAGCCAGAGGGGAAGAAACCAGGCCAAATTAAAGCATCAGCCAGGGGGATGCCTGCTGGGAGGCAGCACAAGCTGCCGCCCAAGGTCAGCAATGCCACCCTGCCCCGGCCACCTCCTGCCAGGCAGAGGTGACGTCCACAGGGACACGACACACGGATGTTGCGGGAAAAGCCACAGAGACCCCTTTTAAGGAACTACCACCAAGCCTTAAGCAACGCACAAGGATGTCATGATCATGGACTGGAATTGGATGAAACAGAGACATTTCACAAGTAGGGGGATGGCACGGCTGCCTGGGCTATAAAAGATGCCACTCTGAACATCTCCACTCCAGCCCGAGTCCGTCTCGCCGCTTCGTCAAGATGAGCCAGGTGAGTGCAAGGGCAGCAGGCTGCTGGCCCTGGAGGTCTCTTAATGCTCTTTTCTAGGTGCCTGTAGGAGCTTGCGAACAGCTCATTTCACGCTCAGCACCTGCATCTCCCCTCAGGTTTCTCCAAGCCACCAGCTACGTTGGTGGCTCCAGTTTCATCCGTTTGGCTGGAGACTTTCTAATAGGCCCTGCCTGGCAGAGGGCACATTCAGGAAAAGCAGCTCTCCAATATTATCCTTGGCTGCACATCCCAGAGCAGATGCAGGCAAAGACTACAACCCACTTCAGCCTCCCTTGGCTCGTAGATAAGAGCAAACCAAAATAAAGAGCTCAAATCTGTTCTGAAGCCAGGCTGCATCCTCCTGCAGCACGCAGGAGGCGGTTATGCTGGAGCCTTGATGATTTACACCAGCACTTTCCCACCTCTTGGGGCTCCTGAAGTTATCCAGCATAATCCTTTTCCTTCCAGTCCTGCCAGACACCCCAGGGACCCATCTCCGACCTGGAAAGGGCCATCGATACCATCATTGATGTCTTCCACCAATACTCGAGGCGGGAGGGGGACAAAGATACCCTGACCAAAGTGGAGCTGAAACTCATGATCGAGAAGCAGCTTGCGAACTACCTGAAGGTGAGTAGAGTCGAAGCAGGGTGTCGCGTGCCTTGCACGGGGAGGGAACTGGGCCACACTGCTGCTTGCCAAAGATGCTCTGTAGCTACCATAAAGGCAGAGGAGGAAAACACTGCCCCGAACCTCCTGAACCCCAGAGGTGGTGCTCGGGGCTAGGCTGCACATTTGCTCTCTGCAGCAACCCCGACGCACAGGGCAAAGAGCTTTGCAGCAGCAGTCTGCTTCAGCAATGGGTGAGAGCATCCAAGCCACCGTGGGACAGGGCTGCTCAGGCTGGCGGGTACCCCCAGCCACCCCAGTTATTAGCAAAGTCAGGGTCATATTGGCCAACTGCTCCTGTACCATCTAGAAAGGAAGGAGTCAGGACTACGAACAGAAATGCACATTTTGTCGCAACCCAAGGTAAAGGGTGAAGTGTTTTTAAGCTATCCATTGCCAAGCAGAGATGCACAGAGGAAGCAGTTTGTGGCTGATGAAGGTGGAGGGACATTCAAGCCCGTCTCAGACCTGGCTGAGACTGATGGGGCTTTGCCCTCCCTCCCTGGCCCTTCCTTTGCAGCATGTGAAGAACCAGATCTCCATTGACCAGATCTTCAAGGACCTGGACACCAACAAGGACCACCAGCTCAGCTTTGGCGAGGTGATGCTCCTCATCATCAGGGTGACCGTTGCCACCCACGAGCACCTCCACTTCTGTGAGGACAAGCAGCAGCAGCACCACCACCACCACCACAACCACTGAGGCAGGCTGGGCTCATCAGCACCTGCCGAGCAGCAAACCCACAGCTGCCCCCACCACCCCGCTCTGCCTCCTATCTCCTTGCCTCCTCCCAGGTCCAATGGTTTTGCTGCCAATCAATAAAGATTTGCTCTGAGGCTGTCAAAGCTATTCTGCACATCCGCGTGGGTTTTCCTCAAGGAAACAAGCCTGGGCCTTGCTCTGTGCCCCCACCCCACCACAGTTTAAACCAGGCAAATTCAGCTTTGAGATAGGATGTATTTTCCTAGGGAGCTTGGGGACAGCAAGGGAGGGAGGAGAAGGCTGGTTGCAGGAGCATCCACAGATCAAGCCTCCATCCTCCCCATTGCAGCATGTTCCATAGTTCAGGGCACAGGGGATAATCTGAGGGGGCTCTGCATTTCCAATTAAAGACCATTTTGGGCTGGAAAGGTCCTGCACATCCCCTAGGAGCGTGCGGCGGCGGGTGATGGTGCACCTCAAGTCGGGGCGAGGGAGGGGACAAGGAGCAGCCTTCCCAGCACCCTGCAGGGCCCTGCTGAAAGGGCCTTGCTGTGGTCCCCGCACAGGATCAAACATCTCAGGGCAACAGCCCGACCACCAGGCAGGGTACAGGCAGCGCTCGGATGCAGCTGCTGCGCTTGGCCCACACCCAGAAAAAACAGCCAACACACCTTGGGCAATTAGTGCTTTTCAGGATACTTGAGACCAACCAGGAACAACAGACCCAAAGCTCATGCTGTCTTGCCAGCTGTGCTGGGTATCTAACATAGCAGCAAGCGTTTTGGAGCCGGGGGCAGGGAGCAAGCCAGCGTGATTTCCCCAGATGGCCCCACAGGCGCCAGCCAGCATGCGCTGCTGCTCGCCCATGAGCGGGGGGCACCTGGCCGTGGCTCGGGTCCTGCTGCCGTGCTTTGCGCAGACGAAAGCAGAGACCTTCCCCATGCCTTACTCAACACTGCACGGCCCAGGCTCATAGCAAGGAGATCTCCATCATCAGCCGCCGCTTTCAGGAATATGTGGCTGGAAACGCCTCGCGCCATGAAGGAAGAGAGCCTGGCTATCAATCTGCAAATGCATTTTTAGAGGGGGGGAAAAAGGAACAGTTGTGATTTCCTAAGGGTGAGTCAAAATCCTGAAATCGCCCTGCTCTGTGAAGAAACTCGCCGCAAGCTTCCCAAAAGCAGCCGCGCTGAAGCAAGCCCCGGTTAACACAAGACTGCCGCAAGCTTGCCTCACAGTGGCTGCCCTGGTTGCTTCAGCTTCCTTCGAGGGGGATTTTGACACTTGAAGTGTCTCAAACACCTTCCCACCAGGGAAAAAGCTGCAGCACTGCCCCGGTTAACACAAGACTGCCGCAAGCTTGCCTCACAGTGGCTGCCCTGGTTGCTTCAGCTTCCTTCGAGGGGGATTTTGACACTTGAAGTGTCTCAAACACCTTCCCACCAGGGAAAAAGCTGCTGCGCTGACCACCGCACCCACCTCATCCAGGGCACCCGATCGAGATGCTGCACCCGAAGCTGGGTCCTGTGGGCTAAACCCTCTTCCCGAAGCTGCCCACCGGCCCCAGCAGAGCAGCCAGGGACATGCCCCCGCTTTCGGGGCAAGGGCAGGGTGGTCGGGGTCCCGGTGCCCCCCTCTCCTGGGGGGGGGGGTCGGCTTTGCGGGAGCGCAGCACACAGCGGACGGGGAGCAGGTCGACCTGGGCTCCTCCGCGGCTTGTCCTGGCTGCCTTCCGCCGGGACGGAGGCGCAAA